TAGTCCATGCAGTCAATTACATAGGAAATTGAAATACTATGGCAAAACCTTATTGCATGTAGCATTTCATTGGAAACTACGTATAAGGTGTTCAGAAATTGTATTAAAAAATAAAGGGGGAAAAATGTTACCGTCAAAAAAACAGCAAAAGGGGATGGCAGGCCATTCTTAAGACTTTAAATACATAAATTTACACCTATTTTAATCACACACATTATCTCCAGAGCTATATCTAAATTAATTGTGACATTTATCCAGTGTTAATATGAGAAATTGTTAGTTAGTCTTAGGTTTTTGATAAAAAATGTAAATTATATTCGTAAAAACAATTGGTTAATCTCTCCTGCCCCAGTTTAGTGTAGTTTCGGTCTGGATATCTTATTCATAGTTTTAGTCCTAATTTTATTTTATTTAACCTTACTTGGGGTAACTAAATTGGCTGTTTTGGCTAAAGTTAAGGGGGATAAGTAAGAATGAAAACCTAATCAAAAGCTTGCATTCTATTTTTCAAATGGTACAAAAAATCTTCCACTCGCCAACAGTAGATTGTCTCAAACTGGCCATTCTTCCCTGACATCAATAATTTAATCCTATTTTAAGAGGGAATTTCTTAGCCAACAAAAGGAATAAGAGGCTGTAAAAAGCAGATCATTTGAGGGAGGGAAAAACAGCTCTGCTGTCATGTGAAGATACATTTCATCTCAGGAAATCTTGCAATAATTTGGCCTGGTTCATGCTCTCCCATCAAAGCAATCGACAACCAAATGCATAACCACAACAAATATAATTCCGTCTGCCATCTAAACCGTGCACAAGCAGCAACTGTGTTTACAAAAAGATTCTGTCAAATTTGCATAACTCGCAAGCATCAAGCTTCTGACCCAAACACAAATATTCACATTAGCAGATAAGACCCAGTCTTGTTCAGGGGGATAAACTGTCTAGTGCTGCCATTCAGAGTAAAGAACATCACATAGATTACAGTAAAACAGTCGAATGCTAAAATTCTTTTCAAACCCATTTAAAAAATATATCAAGCCATATTTAGTTTCAAAAGTAAGCTGAAATGTCTTCTTGTTTGATAGGTCATGTTGCTACAGGTTATTTGGGGTAATACTGAGCTATGGAGTTAAAAGAAAGTATTAGCTCCCTTCAGTTAAAGGTATAGTGGAGGATGTTCTTTTTCCAGGTGTATCATCAAAATAAGTGGTCCTCCTAATTGTCAGTCATTCTGGTGATATGTTTACGTAAGGCCATCCTATGTGCTCGTCCCCATTTTCACTTACCAATGGTGAGTCTGATTTAGTGGAAAAATTGCAAATCTTCTTTTGGAAAGTAAGCTTGTATGTGTGATGCAAACAGCAACTTTTGAACAGAGCGCGCATGAGCAGAAATGGGCTCGTGGATTAAACGTGTGGGAGCCCACACATGTTTAATAGTAATATGAACATGTGTATGTGCATTTTTTTAAAGTGGAGAGAGTGGGTCTTTTAAAAAAATCGCGAAATCCTCCACTATACCTTTAACATAGCTGGAGAAAATAGAAATTGCAGTTTTATTTTTGTTTCGTTTTCTTCAGGCAAACAAACTAACCCATAGCAAAAAAATTAATTGCCCCACAACTAATATTATCTGTGGTGATGTGTTTGCAGAAACTGGCGATGAGTCTTTAAAATTGTTGTGAACTAAGTTTGAGCCACTTCTCTCTTGAAATTTTGTTAAATTAGCCACATGGGAGGATATCTGAGCATGAAAAGTCTCTTTATAGTCACATCAGCTCAAATTGGATTTAAATGTGCACTTTATGCACCATATATAAGGGAACTCCCATATCCCTATAAAAGTTTTTTTTTCTCTCTTATCCTACAGAATATTTATCTATATTTGAAGTATTTCTCAATATGATTTTAAAACTTTTCTGACATAAGTGAGACAGACCTTTATGTCAACTTTTTTCAGCAGTTATTTGGTTTTTTTTTTTTGATTGGTCCCTTATTCTTATCAATAAATCTTGAACCTTCATCCTAACTGAGGCAAGTAAAGTTTTTAATGTTTTTCTTTTGTGCCTTAAAAATGGGTTGTTAAATTTCTTAAGATCCTGGCATAATGTATTCCTATGAGATCTTTTAGCCCACTTTTTTTTGGTGGTATGATAGTCATCAGTCAGGTGGTTAATCCATGTTAAAGTTAATGAAACGGAACTGAGAATTCTTGATATTGTGGTAACTCACAAAAAATCATGATTTACCATTGGGTGATTCATATTTAAAGGTAACTGCCTTTTTCTTTTTTTTTTATTCAACCTAAACCTATGTTTTTCCTTCCTTCTGCACGGGAAAAGCTCTTTGACTATTTAAGGGCTAAATGTAGTGACTCTTATGCCCTCCAGTTTACCTGACATTGAAAATTTCATCTGTAGTTTGAGTCTCTTACCGTTAACTTTATACCACTTATCATGTAAGAGGGCATTTCCTTTTTCCAGATCCTGAACATGTGATTCTTCCACCAAAGGCAAACAAAAAGCATGGTGCAATTTAAAAGCATAGACATTATAAATCTTGCATTTAGAGCACTTGTATTAAGAGTGCAAAGAATTATTACCTTTTCTACATCTTTAGAAGCAATAACAGCTCTTATTCATCAACATCAACTATTCCATATATTTGATACAAGCTATAGAAGTTAGAATGCACTGCCTGTATTATTATAGGTTTTTACAAGCTTTAAAGTAGTCCCTGGTGGATATCTTTGGGGTAGTTGTTTTTCTCAAGATAATTTTATCACATCCCCAAAAAGAAGCCTCGCAAACAATTTTCACTATGTTGAACTTAGCCATGCTGTTTAGCTGTCCCCCTGTGATACTAATTGGTAGTGTGTTGACACAGATGTTCCAGATATCTTTGCAGGGAATAAAAAGGTTGAAGAAATGTTCTTATCTCTGCTGTGTGGGGAAAAAAAGAGCAATTATCAAAATCGCACCTTATCACAGGTTAAAAAAGGCAGGAAAGTGAAACATGATGCAGTTTAACAACCAAGATTAAACATTCTCCCAGAGCCATTTGATGTTTATCTGTTGTGTTATGTGTTTAGATGGTGAATGCTGAAGGGATTAGATGAGAAAAGAAAGATGAAAAATTTGTGATCTTTTAAACAGATGTTTGACAAGACTTTACTGAGAGAAATCTGTAATAGCAAGCACTTTTTTTTACATTGATGCATTTCAAATAAGCTGTTTAAAATGTAAACAAATATGTCATGGACACATCAGCGTACTCTTAGATCCTTAATAATTTGAATGATTAAATGTTATTTGTTTTTAATTAAAGCAGTATCGCAATAGATACATTATGAAAATTAATTAAATTCCTAGATATTGATAAGTCTATCATTATTTTAAATACAAAGTCAAGGAGTAAAACAAATTATTCTCGTTCATTTTGGCAACCGACAACCATAAATTGACCGCAATGTTTTTTGTTTTGTGTATACACTTTCAGAACATTTGTCAAACACTACTTGACACTGATATAACAATTTCTAGTAGGGACAAGTCACTTCATGTTTTATCTGTGTCTTTTTTTCAATCACATTTCTTTATTCCACTAGACTTTCTTATTGAAGGCATTTTTGTCAAGGTTGGAAGGAGCTTGGTAAGGACCGAAATGCAGAAATGAAGAGTTAGATAAGAGTTCTTGCATAGTTAAGGGTGTAGATAGCAGCAGAAACACAAATCCAGGAACCTAAAAAAACATAAAAAATTAAAACTAGGAGACACCACGGGGGACACACACATGAGGATCAACACTGAGGAACTGCACAATGGGTGTATATACGGGAGACAGAGCAAAGACTGGGGTAATCAGCTAACAGGGAGCAGGTGTGGAAAGAAGCATAAGAAGGGGGCTAGGGGACTGAGAAAACACAGGTTCACAGTTTAACTAAAAGCCCCAAAAGAAACTTAAAAGGAAGTCCACAAAGGGCAGAACAAATTTAAAGTCCTCTGTGGAGAGCCTCCCTCTTAAGTTATTACCATGTGTGACTTACTTATTGCCATATATCAGAATAGCTATTTAACCCAGATGTCTGTGTTTTATAGCTTAAAAAAAATAAAATTATGATTTCATCAAATACTGTTTTGTATAGCCTTCTTTAGTGCTGAGCCCCAATCAAATTAAATATAAGTAAGAAAAAAAGTACACGCATATATTAAGCTTGCAAGAATTCTCTAAATTATGTTATTTTATTCTTTTAACAGGATTTCTGAAATATCTATATTTTGGAAGAATCTGCATAATGTCCTACTAACAGTTTGGGAGGAAAAGCATGGGGGAAAGAAAAGCTGCTTTGCTCTCAGCAAGACTGAAGATAACAAAACACACAGACGCCAATGAAAAAAAAAATAAATAATTCTCCTTAAAAGACAAGCCTTATGAAATGTTAGATTATATAATTTTACCTTAATGTAAGACCTGTACACGGAAAACACAAAACCCTGAAGTCACTCTTTCATCTGCATCTTTCTTTTGCTTGTTTGTTTGGGCCAAAGCTATCCCAAAGCGTAAAACCCATCATGGTTCGCTTTTGAATTACTTTGTCATCATTGTGTCGTTGTCATGGAGACATTTTAAAAGTCATTAAGAGTTTTTTTTTAGTAAAAGGTTGATTTTGTAAAATGACATTGGCAAGGGTAAGAGTGTTCTTGATGAGTCTGAGGTTGATGAAGCCTGCTTTTTAGTTAGCACTTACTATTCTATTTCTGCTTTATCTTTTTCAATGACTCTTCAAAAAAATACTGATCCAAATTCTAAGAGAAATGAGGAGCATGACCAGAAGAGTTAGAGAATAAAGCCAAACCCATTTTTTTATGATTTTATCTGATCTTTATTTATTTAACATCCTGCAAGACTAGCTAATATAAGTTGTATATCCTCATAGCTGTCATGATCGGCTTAATGGACTAAACCCACATGCAGAACACTAACGGAGACAGAGGAAAGTTTAACAATGTTTATTTATGAATACACAGAATGATTCAAGATCTGGTTCTGGTACAGGCCCGGGACTGGTTTCAATATTATCTGGAGAGATGAGTTTGATTAGCCAGGCAGATGATGGTTTGACGAGTGAGTAGAATCTTGATAATACCTTGAGGAGGTTTTAACAGATCCGTGAGAGGAGGAACCGGTTGGGTCCAGAGTCTGTGGAGGTAGCAGAGAGCTCAGCAGCAACAGCGTCTAGCTTCGAGCTAGAGAGTTTCAGACTTGCGTTCTTGTTTCCTAGCTCTTTCCCAAGAGCTGATGGAGGAATCCATACTGAGATCTTCAGGTTTGGCTTACGTGGGCAGGCAGGCAGGTTTCCAGGTTATGCTCATCCAGAGCTTCAGACTTCAGTCGGGTTTCTGTGAGCAAAGAAGACAAGAGCAAGTTAGAAGGCTAGTTTCTCTCTAGAGGCAACTAGTATTCTTTAGGATTTCAGAGGCTCAGGTACGCTAACCACACTAGGTCAACACTCCGGCGTCGAAGGAAGGTCTGACTGCTGCTTATGTAGGGAGGTCTTCTGATGAGCTGATGATTCCCAGGTGTGCTGAGGACTCCAGCTCAGGAAGCCCACAGCGCTCTGAGCTGGAGACAGGTGGCAGATCTCCAGATCCCAACAATAGCAGTTGTATATATAAAGCTCCATTTGTCTTAACACTTTTAAATACATCCAGAGAGTTTACTGTATATTGTTCACCAGATGAGGTGATGACACTGTTAGAAATGTAAAGTTAATTTTATTGGTTCCAGAGATTTCCCGAGTCAGAGATAAGAATAAAAAAATAAACAAAAAAAGCATTGTTTGGGGCTAATTTGAGTTATATCATCTATGCTTCTTTATCACTGATTTCAGTCACACTGTGGTTTTCTTTTCCACTAATAAAACATTACTTATGTGTATTGGCTGCAGTTCTTATTTTTACTTTATAAGTAGTTTAAAAATGTCAGCTTCCATTTATATTAAATGCACGTGTCAGTTGCTTTTATTTATTAATCTATTGTATGGTTTTGATGCTACTTTACAGCATGCAAAATCATCTGTTCAATGTTTCAGGTTTGATGTAGAGCAGAGGTCTTCAACAGGGGGTCCGCAACCCCTAGAGGGTCCACACAGGTACTGCATGGGGGTCGCGAAAGTTTGGGTTGATTAGACTTTTTTTTATATTCCCCCCATACAATTCTCTCCACTAATTGAAATGTCTTTAAATACACATTAACATGAATCCAACACACTGTAGTAAACAGATAAATGGAGGCACAAGATTTCTATCAGTCATCAATGCACACATTCAGTGACACACAGCAGCTCTTTTAATCTGGGCACCGTTTCATTCATAACACCTGTTCCATCAACAAGGAATCGGAATCAGAAATACTTTAATAATCCCAGGGAGAAATTACTTTCATTAATGTAATCTGTAATAGAGTGAGTATAGGACCAGGTGATATAACGCAATTTTATACAATACATATGAAATCAGGGGGTCCCTGCTCCATCTTACCATCAGTTTGGGGGTCCTTGGCCGGGAAAACGTTGAAGATGATTTAGAGCACTCGTTCTAAGCTACATTAGAGGTTAATAAAGGGACAAAAGTTTCTTCTTAGACTAAATAGTATTTAATATACCACTTCTTACAAAACGTGGCATCTGTTAAAAAGTTTGCTTTATTACACTGGCAACCTTACCTCAGTCAGATCTTTTGACCCTTGGTTCATAAGTATGGGTTTTATATTGCATCAGCTTGTTTTGAAGCTGTCGTCGTGCTGTTTGCAGGTAAATTGTAGTGATACTGTTAATCACATGTGGTCTGATTTTTTTGGCCTACATTATAAATTGCAGTTTCTTTGTTTGTTTGTTTTTTTTTACTTTTTTTAATTGTCTTTTAAATGCAGATCTAAAGTGCAACTTTGATTTGGAACTTAAATTCGGATTATGTGACAAAACTACAGCAAGATTAAATTCCTTCGTTGACATCTAAAAAAAATCTGATTATCCGCAGCTGGGTTAAAAAGTTTGAATAAGGTTTCTTTAAAAACAATAAGAGGCATTATGTATTTGAGTCTTTATTTCCCAGCCTTACTTTACCTTAAAATTTGCTCTATGATATTAAATTAGTTAATCCTCCTCAGCTGTTTCTAATTGAAATATTATGTTAACTTCTCCTAACACTTATTTAGTTTTTTTGGTTTTAAATGTTCTAATTTCAACCTAACTGTGGGTTTGTTAAAGGTCCATCAAAAATCTATTTTCTTACAGTCACTTCCTGAAAAATCAGAGTCACTAGTCTTTTTTTCTCCAGTATTGTGATCAACAGTAGTTTTCATTTCCTACTATGCTTAAAAGAGATGTGCCTCTTCCTCCCATCAGTTTTATACTGTATTAATGCTCAAAGAAAGGCATTGCTTATTAAAAATTATCTAGACAATTTGATAAACAGAGAAAATAGTATATTGCTTTGGTAAAAGTTTTAATAACAATTGTGTCTCTCAAAATTGTATTAAAAATGATGACTTAGTGAGATATTATAATAGCTATTCAATGGATGTAATGCAATTTATTGTGCAAACTTAAAAAAGTAAAACTTCACCTACTGCATAAAATAATTTGTTTCAAAGTCATGCACAGATCTGAATAGGGTTCAACAATAACTGTTTTTTTCTTTTTTTCTTTCTTTATTTAAAAACCTATACTAGTAAAAGATGTCTGTGATAAATTCATATGATGCAGTAAATACATACAAAAAAAACAAGAAATATATTTTTTTCCTTCTACTTTTAGATATATTTTTGTCATTTCATGGATGATTTCAAAATAATTGAAAAAATATGTGTTCTTTGTTTTTAATCAGTAGTCAGTCTTTGTTTATTTAGGCCCATATGTCATAAGCATGATTAAAAGCTAATAAAAACCTATATATGCGTGCATGTTCTGCTGATAAATAATTGTTCTTGTTTTATGTTACAGCATTACAACATATTGCTTTGTGGTTATTATAAGGTTGAATTGGAAATAGGTCATATTTCTCTTACTCATAGCAGCAAATGTAGAGGGGTGGAAAGCTAATAACAGGTCAGTCTGACCTGCCCCAGACTAGCAGACTCTTTCATTTCTATAAACTGAAACTACAAATAGGGCATGAAATAAATGGTCTAAAGTTTTGTAGAAGACTGAACAGTGTAAATCTGTTCTCTCCTAAGGCATATGCTGTAATGTGAATAAGTATAGGTATCAAGGGAATGGCTCAATACAACTAAAAAAATCAGAGAAGGCAAGCCAAAATATTTCATTTAATAGAATAGAATAGAAAATCCCTTTATTGTCCCAGAATGTGGAAATTGTGGTTTTACAGCAGCAGCAAAAGGTTATAGCAAAGATGTCACACAATGTGGACCTTAGAAAAGTTTATAAAAATGACAGAATAAGTGACAGAGTTAAGTACATATTGTATACTAAGAATAAATAATCAATAAACAGCTGTGCACATTTTTACAGTAATGGATATGTGAAAATAGCAGCAACAACAGAGATGTGCAAAAATGACAGCAGCATGTTATTTAAGTGACTAAGACAAAAACTGTGCAAAGATGAATGTTACAACTTATTGAGGCTGTTGGCAACAGTGATGGTTATAAAGTCTTACAGCTGCTTGGAGGAAGGATCTGTGATAATGCTCCCTGGTGCATTGACGGTGCAGCAGTCTGTCACTGAAGCAGCTTTCCAGTTCAGCAACAGCTTCATGCATGGCGTGGGAGACATTATCCAACAGAGTTGTTATTTTAGTTTGGGTCATTTTTTCCCCACCTCCTGCACTGAGTACAGAGGGCATCCAATCACAGCGCTGGCCTTCCTGATCAGCTCATCCAGCTTTTTCATTAGATGCTTTGTTCTATTAAAATCTCCCTAAATGCACTTCAATAAGTGTTTTTAATAAATCTTCCCTAAATATTTTTCAAATACATTTTCAAAAAAAAGAAGAATAAAATACAACTGGATGCTTGCTTTACTTTTGTAATTTTCTCAGTGACTTATCATTTTTCAAAAAGACCGTGCAGAATGAATAAAGGAAACATATTCTTTATATATAAAATGATGGGCATTTGGATTAAAGCCCAAGCAGGTGGTATGATTCTTAGAGTGACAATCACCCTCAATTTGACAGTAACAGGCTAGACCACCAACCTTATAACAAGGAAAACAGGCATAGTCACATTTTCATCTTTCAAGCCAAAAATAAACAGAAGTGGACCCCAGCAGTTCACTTTAATGTGATGAGTGTAAAACGCAGGTGTAGATAATGTATCCTATCAACCAGTTGGGTATCAGTTGCTCCAGCCAAGCCATAAAGCTTTGCCTACCTACAATGCACAGCTGTGCAATGATGACATCGTTTTCATGTCTGTCAGCATGGAGCCAAGGACAATAATGGTTCCAGATGACCATTGTTCCCCCTCAGTCTCTCAGCGAGGTCAGTGGAGATGGGGAACAGCAAGTGCTGAATGTCCTAACCAGCAAACCAGTGAGTGCACTCCGAGTGGGAAAGACCGTGTTTGCCAAGAGCCATTTGATTCGTTTCCTTTGCTCGAGTGAGAAGCGGGCATTTAACACAACACAATCACACCTTCGAGGCTTTCAGGCATTGGGCAGCTTAAAGCTCCTTTAGCAATCAGAAACAGGCATGATTTCCACCAGTAAAAGAGAGCCATCTCTGGCTACTGCTGATAGGCAGTATTTTGGAATCAACACCTTGAAACCATTAGGTATATTTTTAAAGATTGGGTAAAATAAAATATGTAGTCCTCTTATGAAAGCTATTTCTCTCAACTATGTTTATTATAATCACCTAAGGAGTTCAATACATTTGTTTACAGTTTGATACTAATGTAAGATATTAAGCTATGTTTTTAATGTATTCCCAAACATGACTTTATTTTTCATTTTAAAGTTGTTGTTTTTTATGATAGGTATTAGCAAACATGTTACTTAGAATAATTATCTTTGACCTGGGCACCATATGTTTAAAATTAATGGCCATGTTAAGAAATTATCACTGTTAAAAAATCTATCTAAACCAGCTTGGTCATTTGCAAAAACTTATACACCAACTCGGTGTTATTGATTTACCTGCTCAATCTGCTGTCACAATTTGATGCTTTAGCCAGCATATCTCTGACATAAGAAAAATATGTCAAAAACGCTGGCTTACGTTAGATATGTTATGGGTCAGTTTTGTATAAGTAATGAGCATGCTGAAGCATGCTGAAGCATGCTTGTACACGTTGACATGCTGTTGAGGAATTTTTAACAGACATGATGCTAAATCTGCTGCAACTGCAAACCCTATTTCTTTCCTTTTCTTTTTCTTTTTACTTATTTATTCTTTTTTTTTTTTTTTTGGTAGGCGGTAAACACCAACTATACCGCATTCAATCTTTTTATGAAGGTTGGGTGCCAT